ATAATTCATGTGTCATACTCATTCATTAGATGTTTTTCTGTCAAGGCTGTATATATGTAATGATATATATCTATCTTTGTCATCGTCGCTATTTTTTTTTTTGTTAAAGATAAACATGGGTAATTCATCTGTCATCAACAAAAAATTATCAGACTCCAATGTTGAACAATTATCACGTATAACGGGATTTACCGATAATCAAGTTCGAGAATGGCATTCCGGATTTTTGGTACGTTTCATATTTTGTTTATTAATTTTGTTTATTATTCATATTTTGTTTATCCTCTTTTTATTCAGAATTACTAAAAATGTCGGGAGAAATCTGTAAAAAAAACAAAAACAAGAGATGTATATCATAGAAATAGAATTTTCTTACAATCGATAGACTTCACACAAGTATAACTTTAACCGTCGATTTCCTGCCGGACATATCAGTATTCTTTCCTTCTCTGTAAGATAATCAACGAAAAAAGATTGTAAAATAGTGGTTAGTAGTAATAGAAATAAGTTGTGTATGTAATTTAAATATCAATGTGGTTAAAGAACTGGTGTTCGACGTTGATGAATGTATGTGTATCTTTTCTTTAGAACTTGCTTATAATTCGGGGAAACGTAGATTTTATACATCATACTACAGATACTTTTCAATCATGATTAGCGAATAATATTTAATCTATTTAGTCAAGAAATTAGAAAGAAAGTCACGTTCACAATACTCACCAGTACAATTATCCTACATTTTCATGTGAAACAGGTTTTTCTAACTCTTTCACTCTAAAAAAAATGCGACTTAGGATCAAATTAAGTCTTATTACTGTCCCTTATTCTGTGAAAATAAGACACATTAATGCGACTTAATTTGATTCTAAGTCGCATTTTTTTAGAGTGTTGAGTGCAGGAATTAATCGATTCAATTTGATTTTCAAATTTTATGTAGTGAAATCTAAAAATACTGTTTGATAGCCACAATACTGCATAAAGTTGCTGACCGAAAGTAATTGAGAAAGTAAGTACTTTGCGCAAGTACTTAGGTTAAGTAATGAAGACAGTACTTTAGGATTTCTCCAAGTAAAACGAAAGTACTTGATTAACACAGTCCATTTTCTATTTTTTCTTCTCCTTCATATCGACTAGTTTACATATTTACATTATTAAGATAGTTTTCTTAGCTCTCTTTTCAAGAGCTTCATCTTATTTTTATGAATATAAATAACTTTCGATCGTTATTGATGTCTTAATTTTTAACATATTTGTTGTTCCGTTTAATTCTTTGATACTTAATTGCATGAATAGATCTTCTGTTTCAATTACATGTATACTCAATATGTTATAGAAGTTAACAATGAGAAAATTGTTTTTTTTTATGGTAACTGGAAGTTGTTACTAAACGTTGTCTGCCACCTATATGAAATGTTCTTTCTGCTAAAAATTTCTGTTGGTGTTAAAAAAAAGTTCAACAACAACACTATGCAGCTTCAGTTATATGAAACTGTAACATAGTATTAACAGTAACGGGTCCTTTTGTAATCACCTGTGGTTGAACAATTTATGGCATGTTTAAAAATTATTTTAACTAAAACCTTTCATTTTCTTAAGCCTTGATTATCAAAATCAAACGTTCTCTTTCTTTCTTGACGTTTAGTCTATACGATATCCGGTTATATACGAATCAAATATTTATTGAACAAGAAAAGAAAGTGAAAAGAATTCAATGATAGAACAATTTGCATAAATTTTAGTTTTTTTTCTTTTTCGTTAATACGTGAGATTAATCGTATGTTCTTGAACATATTGTCTATTTCATTATTTCTAATTTATAGAAGAAATGGATTATATTTATGTTACAGTTCTCAGTTTTTTTCATTAATTATATTTATTTTTACATATTTTACACAGCATGCGATTTAATAATAAAAGAGAGTTGTAAATTCTTTTTTATTGTGTAGTACGGCTTAGATGAATAGATGGATAGAACGATTTTTTTTTAACATCAGCAAGAAGAGAAATGGGATGTATTATTCTACACCTTTCTGCATAATATTGAGTAGAATGAAAGTGAATAAAGAAACTCTAGATAACATGTTTCTAATAGTTTTTTGCTCCTTATAATACTATTTATGACAGACTGAATTACTAACAAACATCCGTTCTGTTCTTGAAAAATTTATGAAGGTACTTAGTAACTGGAAAAGAGATCAATGAAGACTTGTTTCCTCGCACTATAAGTGAAAGAAAGTTTATATCCACTGTGATTGCGTCAGACGATGACTCGTTATTTGGAAAAAGCGATGATTTTGTATGCGGACGATAACTCCTTCAACAGCTTGTAAAACTTGAAAGTATTCACAATCATGGAAACAATTTCAAACATTTCATTAGTATGGTATCATTTGACTATGTCTCATTACACTTTCATGTATGAGTTTGACAAACAGATTGGCAACAGAAAGATATCCGCATTAAATTTAATACAATAGCTAATCCTTTTCCAATTGATACTGCTTATCTTATGGTCCTTTTTTTGCCATTTCATTTAGAAATTTGAGCAGTGGTAAGCGCATTCTATTGCTAATGTTTTCGCATGAAATTGCACGACTCTTACGTACCAAAATTGACTTAAAAGTATCCTCTCCTATTTTTTCACCTTGTTGTCAAATATGGAGTACATATCCAATCGAGCTCAAATTTATACCGGAGTAAGAAGAACGAAAAAAGAAATCGGTTTATTTTTGCACAGAAGTTTGTGAGATGATCTTCTATGAGTTTTCTGGACATTTCTAGTTTTCATTCAGTCACACTATGACCCCTTGAAAAAATGGTTTGATCGAGTCGAAATTCTCACCACAGATACTCCAGACCCTATCGCAGGTTTTAAATTTTTTTTGAGAAATATGCTTTCCTTCTCGAGATATATGAAAAATGCTGAAAATCACGCAGAAAAAGTTAGTTTTTTTCGAGTCGAGAAGGAAAGCATACCATACATCCTTGGTATGAATTTGAACTCGATCGGAGATGTGCTCCGTATTTGGCAACAAGGTGGAAAAAGGGAGAAGGGGTGCCCTTAAGGAAGCCCTCCATCTGAAAAAAGCTTTTTTATTCTACAATCAATCTCAATGAAACCTACGTATGTTAATACTTACTATCTAAGTAATATTTTTGAGTTCAAAAGGTTGAAGCGTTACCGAATTATTATTGCAAAATGGGGCTCTCGGTGAAAATGCTAAGGCTTTTTTTTTAGAAGGAGTATAAAGGTACGAGTGGTTTCAAATGAAAGTAGATAATTAGATCTAAAAATCTGTGGAACAGATTTTTGAATTTAGCTTTTATTCATTTTCTACACAAATTTCAAGTCAAAACTGAAAAAAAAAAATTCGAGATAATATTCGTGTCATCTTGTTCTTAAACACAAATCTACGATCTAGCTAAATGACATACTCCTAGCAGCAGTGGATAATCGGGCGTAGTATGAACGTGTTTTAAATATATTCTTTTTTTACAATAACGCGTAAAAAAATGGAAAATAAGTGCGATAGATTCCTACATAAGATATCAGCATTAGCTTTTGTTAATGAATATTGAAATACTTGTCTATTTATACAGAAAGTGTTAGTTGAAAATATCTTCGTTGGGTTCTTGTACATCGATTTAAAGGAATCTGTTGATTTCTAGAATGTTGCCAAATCGTTCTTTGATTTTTGTTAGACAATAGGCGTGTTAGACTCCGAATTTATCTCCAGAACCAAAGTTCAAATTTGATGAAACATGGAATTGGAAGGTTTCAAACTACATTCTTTTTAGTGGTGATGTCAAAAAAGTTTGAGAAAATCGAGAAGCAACATTTCCATCTATTTTCAATAAGAATTCTTTCCTGACGACAGTTTTGAGTTGAGATTTTTTTCAAATATTGGATGTTGTAGAGAAATGTTTGGGCCACATTTTAAAAAAAGTTCCTCAAAAAATCTCTTTTCCTTCGTTTTAAATTTAAATTTTAAAATTTAAAAGTTCAACTTTTATTAAATTTAAAATAACTCCATTTCTTTTCATAGTAACGAATATTTCCAAATGTACCATTATAAAGAACGTGAAAAACTGAACCAATGTAGGAATTTGTGAGACTGTGAAAATGGGTGCAACAGGATTTTTGAAAGGACTTTCTAGAAATCCTTGAAAATGCACGATCTTTTTTGCATTTTTCATCAATGTTTTGTTAAATTTCAATTCGAATGAAATTAATTTATTTTGACAATCATCATACAAACTAATTCTGGCATCTGAACAGGTTTTTCAAAGGATCTTGAGATATTTTCATGTATGAACGTCGTTTTTGTTTTTGTTAAATATAAAGGATGTTTTCATATATAACGTAACGTGAATGTGATTAAACAACGAATATCCGAGATCATCGTTCTATAAATCTGAAACAAAAGTATATTAAATTATTCTTTTGTAATACTTGTTGAATGCGAATGAGACACAAACATCAATGAAAATAACATGAATCATTTGATCACGTTATATGTGAAACCATTCTTTGCTATTTCTCTACAAGATTCAATATTTGAAAAAATTTTCAACTCAAAATTTTTGTCCGGAAAAAATTCATAGTGAAAACCGATACCTAGAAAATGATGTTTTCCTGGAAGTCCAACTTTTCGATTTTTGTCAAATTTTTTGATATTATCACTGAAAAGACTATGGTTTGAAATCTCTGAAGTCCAGGTTTCATCAAATTTGGTCTAGGGCTTCATCATGCGACAAGCGTCAACTTGTTGATCTAACACACCTATTCACTACTAGAAACAAAAATAGTATCATATTATTTGCTGAAGACTGTTTTTAGTTGCCTCTTTTTAGCATAAAATATTTTTTCGTCGAAATATAGATTCGTTATTCTATTTTCAATACTATTTTCTTCATTCTATCCGTAACGACTGTCTTTTGATCGAATTCACACTAAAGTAGGAGAAATCTACTCCATTTCTTTTAGACTCAACTCATATATGAGTCGAATGAACAGGTGAGGCGCACAATGTTGCAAATCTATTTGCGACAGTGTGCGCCCCGACTATTCATAGATAGTCGTGTTTTGAATTACACTTAACCGGTTACATAGTTGTGTTAATAATGATTAATTATTGTTAAATCACGATCGAAAAACTTGCAGCAAAGTTGTTAATCAGGATTAACTTTGATACATGAGGACTTTTAATCGTAATGAAACACATAGTCTGACTATGTCTAAAAATGCGACTTAGGATCAAATTTAGTCACATTAATGTGACTAAACTTGATCGTAAGTCTCATTTTTTTCCAGAGTGTAGAATGTCACTCCTAATCTCAAATCAATATTCTTCGCATTAGCCAAATTCATTTTGTTTTGTATTAAAAAAACAAAACTTTAATCAACAGTTGACTAATTTTTGCTGTTTTGTGATCACATCCAAGAGTGCAAAGCTTTCAATACGTGTTAATGCGTTTGAATAATTTTGTTTCTATTCTTTTTAATGGCTCTGAATTTCTTTTTTTCTTACATCAAATCAATCTTTGTTCGTTCCGCTTATGTTTTTTTTTTTTAAAATCGAATTATGATTACAAATTGTATTGATGATTTTTTTCTCTCTTCTATTCTTCACCCAATTTAACGTAAAAAATTTACTCTTCATTTGTTTTATGAGTGTATGTGGGTGTGATTAATGTATTATCAATCTGTGTCGAGCATATTTGAACCGTATACGGACTATTTTTTAAAAAAATCCAGCAAGCATAAGAATGAATTAATTTGTATAAAAAACACAAATATATACGTTTTATCTTATTTGTTTATGTAGTTTTATGAGTGATTATATTTTAATCTAAACTGAATTGTCTTTTTTTTTTCTCGTTATAGAAAGATTGTCCCAGTGGTAGATTAAACAAGAGAAAGTTCGTCGAAGTTTATAAAGTTTGTATCTTATCCATTTAGTAGTATTATTTCATTATTATTTAATTGTTTGTGTATTATTAGCAATTTTATCCATCGGGAAAAGCAGAAAAATTTTGTGAATATGTTTTCAGGTAATTAGTACAAATTTTTTTCTTTTTAAGTCCAACAGACCGTCGGTAACACAGTGAAATGAAGTATATGCTTCTTTAATCATACTTTTTTCTCATATCTTCGTTGAAAATAGTAATTAGAAGTACTTGACGGAAAAGAGACCTGATGATTCTTAGTAGTTTCTCATACTAAACAGTTTTCAGCTAAAATGGACAAATTTTGTTTTTATTCAAATAAATGAATAAAAACAAAATCCTAGTAAATGATTTGTTTTGAAAGGACAGAAAATGAAGCGAAGATGATGATGATAATGGATGATAGCACGGCATTCTACCGCCTTGAATATAGCTTTGTAACGGGTGTCCCAGAATAAATTGTACTAAATCTTCGCGCATTTTTCTCTCATTTCCTATTTATAAAAAATATTCTGTTATATATTAAACAAGAGATAATTTAATTCTCTACAAGATTGTATATTTATTTTTAAGATTTATCTTTGATGTTTGGCACAGTAACTCTAACAAAAGAAGCTCCACATTTTTAACTTCACCACGCAGTTTTAAAGTGCAAACTGTTCTCTTTTCTAATTGTTTATAATGAGTACAAAAAAAATTCGAAATAATTTTATTACCGTCAAATGGCGAAGAATTTCATGCTTTACAAAAGAGTTCACTTGAAATTAATTTATTTCAATTGCTAGTGGCTCTAATGCATAAACTTCTAAGTCCACCGAAGTTTCTAGCATTAAAAAAATGTTTTGACTATTCCAGTATAAAATTCAAAGTTCAAATCATTAGTTTATAGACCAAAATAAGCTGAATTTCGCGCTCTATTCGACTGTGTAACTTACAAATAAACCTGCTACTTTTTTTACCTGAAGACCTAGGAAATACTAGATGTCGCTAAGCTGACCGAAAAATAGTAGAAAATGATCTTTTTCAAAAACTCTTTTTTTGCTCCGATTTCATCTAAAAAATCATTATTTCTCATTAAAAACCCATCATATTGTAGAAAATTTCTTGCTGAATTTATTGGTATACCTTGTTTTGTTGAATAAATGATTCTTAGCGAAATTTTGCGCAAAAAATCGATTATTTGAAGGTGCAGTTAAAAAATTTGGAGCTTTTGTTGTTAGAGTTACAGTGTCAAGCATCTAAGATGAATCTTAAAAATAAATATACAATCTTGTAGAAAATTAAATTATCTGTCGTTTAGTATATAACGGAAGTCTTCTTATAAATAGGAAATGCGAGAGAAATACACCAAGATTTAGTTCAATGTTTTCTGGGACAACGGTTAGATTTTCTAAAACTTAGCTGTCTTTTTCTTTTTATTTAGAACATTCGATACAGATTCATCCGGCAATATTGGTAAAATAGATTTTTTTTTCTTTTATGACGATATATAAAATTATTTGCACACTCTGAATAAAAATATATATGAAGAATATGTGTCTAGAGAGTTTAATCCACTAAAATACCTTAACATTCGTCAACGATTAGATTAAAATTAATTATAATAGTTCAATGCAATCATTATCATTTGTATTATATAGACATAGGTTTTTAGTTTGAGAAATATTGAATAATATTAAGAAATACATACTTCAGTTGTGTTGTGAAAGATAATAAAATTATTTTTTTCCAATAATAATTTCTTTTTTATATTCTTATTTTAGATTTTGGAGAATTTCTTATTGCCATCTCAATTACAGCTCAACAAGATCCCAAAAAAAAATTAGAATGGGCATTTTCTATGTATGGTATGTACAAATAGAAGACAATAAGTAAAACTTGTGAGAATAATTCAAAGAATAATAAAATTATGCCAAAAATATAGATTTAAATGTAATTTGTCTTATGAAACACTCTTTGTTTTTGAGATGTGAAAGTCAAAATTCATTTAGATTTTTAATAAAAACTGATCATAAGACAATTTTATAACGTTTAGAGTTGATAAAAATGAAGTTAAAACTATATTAATTAGTATCTAAAACTTATTTCTTGAAGAATTGTGAAAGTGACCTTAAGTTTACAAATTAACAAAAATTTGATTTCTTGTTTTTTTTTAAATAGATATTGATCGTAATGGATATATTGACAAGAAGGAGATGAGAAAAATAATGGATGTAAGTATTATCAAAATGATATTTTTTTCTTAATTTTAATTTTTAATTCTTTTTCTAGGCTATTTATGATCTACTTGGAGAGGATAAAAAAGGCTCAGATAATCCTGATAATAAAGTTGATCAAATATTTTTAAAAATGGATACAAATTCTGATAAAAAATTATCAAAAGAAGAATTTATCAATGGTTGTTTAGCTGATGAGCGACTAAGAAAATTACTGGCACCATCGGCAACATAGGAACCATTGAACATAAAAACATTTTGTTATTGATACTATTCTTTTGTTATCTAAATAATATGTTCTTCTTGTTTTTGTGTATATTAAAACACTATTCATCTATTTTACTGAATTTATCAATTTATAATGGAATCATTGTTAAATTTCTGTGTTTCTAAATCTCTTTTGTGTATCTCTTTGTCGCTTTGGATAATTATAATTGATAACCACTATAAAATACAATGAGGCAAACAGTTTCTTGCCAACATTTTTGGATAATTTTTGCAAACATTCACGGGTAATGCAAAAAAACATTATAGTGTTAGTATTTTTTGAATTTTTCTCGTCATCCTTATAATTAATCGAGCAAATTTTTTTACAAAATTATAGCGCGTTCACTTCTCTACAAAATATGTATTGAATGTTTTATTACTAAATCTGAAGGTGGAAAATGAGATGAGAAATCTTATGAAGTACGAAAATTCAGAAAAAATAAGTTAAACAGAGATGCCTTTTAAGTTTTATTCGTTAAACGTTTGTAGGAGAAAAAAAGGTGAAGTAGCTATCGTGTAGCCGTCGAAAAGCTCTATCATCCACCTATGATTAAAAACTTTTTCACAGTTAGAACTGAGAGCGTAAACCTAATGATTTTTTCTTGAAAATTTTCTAAAAATGATGATTTTTGATTAGGAATTTGCGTCATTCAATAAAACAAGTATAGTCTAGTCAAACTTGATCTTTTCAAATTGAATTTTTTTTCATTTTGAAGACCAATGATTAGTCTATATTCTGGAATAGGTAAGATTTGAAAAAAAACTTCCAGTGTTATCACGCGTACATAAAGCCGAAATCATTTGCTGTTTTCGGTCAGTTTCCGAGAAATCAATCATTGTGTCGGATATTTGCACTCAAAACAAATTTTGTTATATGCCATGAGAGAGAGCACACTTGAAACTGCACTAAGTATTCTCAAACCGCGCTCTGATGCTTGTGAAACTATTCGAAAAAATGTACCTCTCTATGAGAAAAAAAATATATTAGTTTTTTTGATTTTCATACTTCATAAGACTTCTCATCTCATTTTTCATCTTCGAATTTTGCAATAAAACAGTCAATACATATTTTGTAGAGACTTGAACGCGCTATATTTTGCTAAAAAAACTTGCTCGATTAATTATAAGGAAAAGGAGAAAACATGAAAATTATATTGAAAACTATATATTATAATTCTTTTCGGACCACCCGTTAGTTGAATTGGTGCACGTGACCACGTTTAGAATGCAACATAAATAAATGTTTTCGAGAACGTTTTCGTACAAATCCCGTAAAAACACAAATTTCAGGTCGACGTTTCGAGCAATAAATGTTCAATTTCAAGACAAATGACAGAAAATTAAATTGAAATTGAATACAGACACAAAAAAGGTGAACAGAACACCACACTACACTGTGAAAAGCGAGGTGCATTTTTTAAAGAAAAGGTGCCTCAAACGCAACCGCAGTTTTGATCAATAAGAAAATATTTCCATGTAAAAGACACGACTCGATACCCTACGAATGCGGCTGGATTTCAGTTCTATGCACCTATGGTGTCTTCGTGGGACATCGTGGATGCATCCTCTCATGTAAATCAGGTACATGCATAAAGTAAGACGTTCCGTGTCCTTCCGGCATTGAAGATGCATTGAATACGCTGGGATGCCTTATAAGATTAGACGATTAGAAACACGCAAAAAAAAGGGATGAATATGTTTATCCAAGATGAACAAAGAGGGTAAAAAGATAGCTTCTCTTCTTGGATATAGACAGGTTAGAAAAAAAGGAGCCAATTGTTTATTATTTATGGAGCTTTTAACTTCCAGATATATCTCAGCATATGTATATGTACAACGAATGGACAACCATCGTTTTTTGGTTCTATATAAATTTAATTAATTTATGTATTTAATTTGAATGAATTTAACATAATTAATCGAGACAAGACTCTGCGAAATGTCTACTGGAGCCGAGATAAAATATCTAACAGTGTGGAGACATATCACGATTGGGAGTTATCATTTTTTGCAGCAAAATTTTTTCTAGACCCCGAATGGGGTATAGTTTGAAATTATATCCCGATCAGGATATAATTCGATATCCCGACTGGGATATCAAAAAAATCTATATCCCAATCAGGATATCAAGAATTTTAATTTTTAATTTGTAAGAA